TTAGAGTTTAGGGTCTAGGGTTTGGGTTTAAGGTTCAGGGCTTAGGGGTTTAGGCCCCAGCTGTAAGACTGACGTGCTGGGAGATGGCCTGGAAGAAGCATAGAAGAATAGGGGGGATGGCTTTCAAGTTACTCCAGCCCCATTTTAGGGTTTAGGGTTTAGGGTCTAGGGTTTAGGGTTTAGGGTTTAGGGTTTAGGATTTAGTGCTTGCAGTTCCTACTCTAACCTCGAAGCCCTACTGGAAATAAAGCAAGCGTGCCAGCAGGAGGCTTGATAGCATCAGGCAGGTGTGCATGCCAAGGGTCTTTGTAAACAGGCTACTGCTCGAGGCTGAACAAGTAAGCACTTGAACTTCAAGCGTGCTTACAGATTCATACTATCGCTTTGGACTGTTATGATGTCAGGTATACCCAGTGAACCCAACACCCCCCCAGTTAGTCCCACTGGAGCGTCCAGAAAAAGTAAGGGTTTGGGGGTCTCTTGGGTGTGGTATTGCATACCTAGGCCCATCACCTCAGAAACAGCGTACATAGATACATACTCCCAAGACTTGAGAACCTGCGTACCAACTAAAGCAGTATCCCAGTAACGACGGGGTGAATTGGACCCGCCTGGAGACGTCCGCTTGTGGCTTCCAAACTCGAAGCAGGTGGGTGCAAATGATCATGCATGTCCCTTGAGACCTTGAACTTGTCGAGCTCTATTGTAGGCCAACCCTTCTTTACGCCTTGCTCCGCACCCCAAACCTCAAAAGCCGTAAACTCCGGACCCACCATAAACCCTAAACCCTAACTACCCGACCCCACACATCAGACTTCTAAAGCTCACACGAAACCCCCCAACCCACCTCTGCGAAGCGTGCGGTGCCGCCCCAACCTAGCAGGGCCGTCATCCGCTGCGAAACCTGCGGACAAAAATCAGGGGACGGGGCTATCAGATATGTTTGGCTTCTCGAGGTTCACCTGGACCCCCAAAAGTAAGTAGAAGAATGGCCCGACACCTATAAAAGGCTACTGTTCTGCATAATTTTGGGGTCCAGGTAAGCCTTAGCCTAGATCCCGACACACTGAACCCGAAACCCTGAACCCTAAAACCCAAACCCTAAACCCTAAACCCTAAACCCTAAACCCTAAGCCTCAAACTCCAAAAGACGAGGCCAGACCTCACCACATTGAGGACTCAAGGCATGCAAAGTCCCTTCAGCCTGGGCCCTGAAGTCATCGAAGGGTCGAAAAGTATTGGTCCTTGTTTCTTTAGGGTTTAGGGTTTAGGTTTAGGGTTTAGGGTTTAGGGTTTGACATCCGCAAAGATTTCACAATTTCGGGTTTGATTGTCTGTCGAAGCCCAAAGCCAGCAGATTACACACTTACCACGACATCGCCAACCCGCCGTTGGTATAGGGTAGTAGCAGATACCCTCCTGGTCGTCCCGCAGAATCTTCATGCAAAGTGGCACCTAAACCGTTGTCGGGTTTAGAGAAACCGTGTGCAGGTTCATGGACCCTAAACCCAACCCTAAGCCCCAATTGACATAACCTCTAGCCCTAGCACTTCGAAAACTCGACTCGCCCCCTAAACCCCAACCCCTAAACCCTAAACCCTGAACCCTAAACCCTAAACCCTGAACCCTAAACCCCAACCGACCTCGAATGCTCCGCCGCTGCCCTGAGAGACCATGGCCTCATCACCGAAAGGGAACGGGAAGGGGTTTAGGGTTTAGGGTTTAGGGTTTATGGTTTAGGTCAGTCTTTCTGGATTCGTAGAAGATTCGTTTGCTCTTTGAGGTCTAGGGCTCTTTATGGATTTGTTGTGTACAGCTTCTGGTTTCGATGATTGTTTCCAGAAGGGTCTTTTAAGACTTTAAGGCGGGGATTACAAGGCTTAGACGGGTTAGAGTATGCCGAAATGCGGTTTCGGGATCAGGAACTTGGGAAAGATTATAAGGAGTAGCAGAGCGACGAAATGAACGCTAACGCTGTTAAGTAGTCGTGGCAGCATCGTAACAACGGGCCAGGAGTTAGGTTTTAGGGTCGCCGTCGTCATGGCGCGTCGTCGCGGCAACTGCAGGAGGAGCGGCCTCACTGTTTGCGGCTCGGTGCTTGCCAGAGGAGCCCAGCATGTGCTTCACGGATACAGACTGCTTGGAGGTTCATAAGTAGTTAAGTCGAGGAGTCTGTTGAGTGCATTACTTGGAGGTTCATAGGGTTCCTTTAAGGGTTCCTTTAAAGGGTTCTATAGGGTTTAGGGTTTAGGGGTAGTTATAAGTGGGGTTATAAGTCCCCTAATATGGGTTATAAATATAGTTACCTTACTTATAACCCCATTTAGAACTACCCATGAACCTCCAAGTGCTTCTTATTGATCCTAAGGAATGGCGGTTTTGGGGTTCCCTTTGAAGTTGATGGTCCCACTCTCCGGGGTCATGATTCTAAGATGTAGGGCTTGGCGATTTTAGGTTCCGGGGGTTAGGATCTACGATCCATGGGTCGTACGTAGCAAGGCCTTCCCCGAAACACTTCCGCCTCATATCCACAACACCGAAGTGCAACAAGGTGCTGAAGTGCTTGATTGTAGCAACCAGCACCGCAAAGTCAGGGTAACTCTACACTAGATCCCGAACCCCAAACTCCATTCAATGCAAAGCTGAACCCTAAACCCTAAACCCCAAACCCCAAACACTGAACCCTAAACCCTGAACCCTGAACCCTGAACCCTAAACCCTAAACCCGAAACCCTAAGGAGAACCAGAATCGTCCCACCTCCGCCCACTTCGGGTTCAAGAGCTTGGTCCGGTATTCCATGCGCAAGACGGAATCGAGCTTCCCTGGTTTAGGGCTCCTAGGGTTTTGGGTTTAGGGTT